TGTGTGTGTGTGTGTGTGTGTGTGTGTGTGTGTGTGTTTATACAGCTGATCTTGAGAGCTAGTTGAGAGTGTGGAATCTGTAAGAAAGTGGGTGCCTAAAATGATACCTAGATATGTGTGTTTTTGTGGCTATGTGTGCATGAGTTTGTGTGTATCTATATAGCTTGTCTTGACACCTATTTATGTGTGGGGGAGTTATCTGTAGAAGAGGGGGTGCATAAAAGGATTTCAGGTTGTGCTGTAGGGGAGGTGATGGGATGTATAGTTACATAGCTTGTCTTAACAGCAAGTTATGTGTGGGGGATCTGATGGTAGGTGTGGGGGAGACTAATAGGATACGTAGGTTTGTGTGTGTGTTTGTGTTATGTGTGTATACTTATATAACTGGTGTTGAATGCTAGGGATGTATAGTTACATAGCTTGTCTTAACAGCAAGTTATGTGTGGGGGATATGATGGTAGGTGTGGGGGACACTAATAGGATACGTAGGTTTGTGTGTGTGTTTGTGTTATGTGTATACTTATATAACTGGTGTTGAATGCTAGTGTTGTGTGGGGGTTATGTCTGTAGAAGAGGGTGTGCCTAAAAGGGTACTTAGCAGTGTGTGTGTGTGTGTGTGTGTGTGTGTGTGTGTGTGTGTGTATACCTACGTACCTAATCTTGACATCGAGTGTATGTAGGAGAGATGGTGCAAGTATACCTACATATGCATGTGTGTGAGTTTGTGTGTGTGTACTTATATAGCTGGTCTTGACAGGTATTTATGTGTGTGGGATCTGTCTGTAGGAGAAGTGGTGCCTGAAATGATACCCAGATATGTGCGTTGCTGATATTCTTTAGGACAAAGCATTTTCTCTGCCTTGATTTCCTGGGTACTTCTGACAAAATTCAGCTTACATGTTTTAGGTGAGTCTGTGCTGGTATTTGTGCCCCTGTGTCCAGTATCTGTTTCTCCCCTGTCAAACTTTATGGATATCTGAGGCTTTGTATGAGTTATGGAACCAGAAGTGCAGAGTCTGCCATCTCTTCTATGAATAGACCCAGTTGGTTTTATTTTTAATTTTTTTTTGCGTGTTTGGGCATCAGAAGGGCATTTTCTGTATCTATCTGAAGAAAGATCTGTAATGTTAAAAACAGTGACTGTTGCTGAAAAACAGGGGTTTGAGAGTTTATATTCCTTTGGAATCCTCAGACATCATAAGTGTCTTGAAGGCCAATTAGTGTAAATTCTGTTAGAATTGTCCTTCAGTTCTTCAGTATTTGTTCTTTTGTACATAGTCTCTAGCCAACACCAGTGTGAAACGGTGCAAGTAGATGACCTCAAGTGCACCATCTGCATATTACTGGCGGCCTGGAAAACAGGGTCCATGGACACTGTGCTTCTCATGCATTCCAGTCTAGATGTTATGTAGAGATGCACACTGGCTTCATGATCCACTGCTGAGACATGTTTTTGTGTGTTGAGACAGGTTTCCTGGGTCATCTGTGAGGAAATAAAGGAATAAATGACCTTTTGGCACTGTAAAAATAGACACAGCTTCACAGTGTGGTGGAGATTCCACATTAACACATCCACTGGGAAACTTTCACCAAAGGGGATTCACCTGTAGTCACCACATCTGGACAAGAATTGGGCATGGGTGGTCTGTGGCTGCATGCAAGAATAGAAGTCATTTCATTGCCATCCACACTATGTCCTGTGTGTGGAGCCCCTGAGATCATCAGGAGCTCAGGAAATTAGCTGGTAGTTTTTCATCACTGGCATCAACACAGAGTGTTCACATCCTCTGGTCAGGAATCTCCTGGGTACATGTTTCAGGATGTGGCAGAGCACCTACAAGAGAAGGAATATTATAGACCAATGTAAAAGCTGTATGAGAGTTCCAATTTCCCCAAACAGAAGACCTGTGTTCTTGGCAGGTTTACTTTTAATGTAATTCTGGGACTAAAGAGGCAGGTATGATGCCCATTGTCTTCCAATGTGACCTTCCATAGGCCACCATCATTAGTGTCTCTTCAGGGATGTCTGATTTCAGGAAATAATTTCTCATGGTTGCCATGGAACTTTGCAGGAATCAGGCTCTAGGAGCAAAGGACAAAAAGTATTTTCCCAGCAGCATGTCTAAACATAGGCAATCTGCTTCTTTCACCTGTCTCAAGTATTCTTGTCTAAATTAGACACTATACATACATGGTGAAAATGAGCCTCCACGAAACATCCTGTCCAAAGGACCCTGTAAATAGTAGGAGAGAAAATATGGCCAGTAAGAGATCTGGAGTTGACCTATGAGATCCCTGTTGCCCACCCATTCCAAAATGTTCATTGTGGCAGTGTTGATAGGTCAGTTGGTATAATTTAAGTAGAGTTCCAACCAAACACATTATGTCAAAAACAGCAGCTCAAGTACTCATCTCTGTCCTCTGTGAGGAGGATACCTGTGGACAGATTTGGGATGACGTTTATGAAGGTCCTATTATAAATAGCTGGTACGGATTGCACCTGCTCCTGCTCCAACCAGCATAGAGACAGTGAAGATGGTATGTGCTGGCTGTGGAGGGCCTCAGCTGACTTCTGTTCTCTCAGAAGAAAAGGATAAAGGCAAGAACATGACTTTCATAGCAGGATGCACAAAATTCCCATTAGACTCAAGGCAAATGTTAGTAAACAGAAATAAACATCACATCTGTTCATACTGAGATTTGCCTTCTTAATCACCAGCACCTGGGTCTAGAGCCAGTGATTTTCTTAGGTTGTTTGTCCTTGGTTAGACTGACCAGGCCACAGCATCAAACTTTCCCTTTCTCCGGTGTTGGCTTCAGTAAAGTACATCAGGACAGAAACCAACCTTAGTAATCACCCAGTGATGTACAGCAGCTATACCCACATAAGAAAGAAGCCCAGGAGATCTGCACTAGTTTTCCTTGCAAGGCTGTGTGCACTCTCATGTTTGTGGTTCCTCAGCCCATTACAGACTGACTGGCTCATTTCAGAATGACTGTCCTACCTTACAGGTGTAAGAAGATGTTCACCTTCTCTACACAAACTATTCCTCCATAAATGTTAAAGGATAGAGTTTCAGAGGGGACAGATGCTCTACTTGACACAAATTACGCCAAGATCCCTCTCAATGCATGGCTGTGTTGTCTCTCATTATTACTTTGCCCTTCTGCATCATGAGCTCAATGACCATATTCCTTGGAATTGAACAAGGCTGGCTTCGGCAGCTTCATGCTTATTTGTCTGTAGACCACTGTCAAGGATAGATCAGATCACAGAAACATCTCTCATACAACAAGACTAGATTAGTGTTCTCAGTGCTGCCTTTAGCAATATGAGGCCTAGAGATGGGCCCTGGCCTTCAGTCCTTTCTGAGAGGCCACTCTTCATTTCAGAGAGCAGTGATCTGCCTGGAGTGTGTCTATGATATCACCAAAGACAACTTTCACAGGAGGACTTCAAAACAGATAGCCTGGCAGAATGCCCTGACTCTATGGTCAAAAGATTCTGTTTAGGTCTGACCTCCGATGTTGAATATGAATGGATATGAAAGGTAGTTCCAAGACTGTGGACTAAGTCATGTGTCTACTGTGCTCCAAGACAGACAGGCAATACCCACCTTCCAAAGTGGAGCACTATCCCAGCTTTCCATCCACAGTGGTACCCATTTCCTTCCATCACACTGCCACCTTCCTGTTAGGAGGCAATAGGCAAATGTCCCACAGCAAGGGCCCCTTCACCAACAGCTAGACTGATCCAGCATCATGCTGTGGAACTGACTTCTTCGATAAGATGGACAAAGGAATGTACACAGGCTGCAAACAGGACAACAGGGAAGGGAGGGAGAGGGAGCAGGAGGGTCACCTCTCCCCTATTGTGACAAAAAAATCTCCCTTGGAACTGATCTTGAAGGTAAAAAAAAATACAAATGAGTATTGCTGTGGTATGTCCATGAAGACTGGGCCATCAGGACTACTAATTAATGGGCAGTTTGGAGTTGAATTATGGCACAAGGCTTCACTCTGAGAAGAATGCTATGGAAGGCCATCCATGGGACTTAGCCTTGCTAACTATGATTTTCTATGGACAATCCTGTAGTAGATGATGGCTTACCTCCTCCTGTGCTGGACACACTGCCATCTGGACTTCTTGCACGGCTCCCACTTCAGCAGTCTCAGACACATGAGGAAAATTCCTACCTCTTGTCTCAACCTTCATAAAGACTTACCACTTCAGAAGGTGATGACATATGCAAGACACAGTCTTAATAACTTTGAAATATATAGTTCATTTTCTTGACTCTTATTTCATTCTGGGCCATCCATCTTCTAGTGGTTCATCCCCTCACACTCTTCACTAGCCTTTGAAGTTTACTTCACCCAAAATCTTTAACACCCTCTTATCCTTTCATATTTTAACAAACTAATTCTTGCTGCTTCTGCAAGTTCTGCTTCTCATCCACTGTTCTCTACCCTCAGCTAAAGCTTTTCATGTTAATGGTTCTGTGGCTTTGGAGGCTGTCCTGGAACTAGCTCTTGTAGACCAGGCTCATCTCGAACTCACAGAGATCCACCTGCCTCTGCCACCCGAGTGCTGGGATTAAAGGTGTGTGCCACCAACGCCCAGCAAGATTTGCTATATTTCATACTCCTAAATATTAAGTGATGTTTGCAGAGGACATGAGAAAATATATAGATTAAGAAACACAGGATTGCATCTTGGGCACCCCATGGAGCTGCATGTGTCTGAATGCATTGTTCTCCACTTCTGCTGCCCTCTGAGAAATATTGCTTCTCTTGGAGGCTGGCACACAGCAGCATAGTAGTCTGAGACAATTTCCAATTCTCTTCTTAACCCTCTTCCAACCTCGGGATAGATGGCTGACAGAGGCTGTAGTTTTGTATTCAGGTGGGAAATCTTTAAAGCAGTTCTTGGATGTTTCTAGAAGGGAAGATCTCCTGTTTTCAGGTATGCCTTCAGGAGGGACATCATCGAAGCTGTTCTTATATGCTGACTGAAGACAATCTCTCTGGATGTCATATGTGGCTGTGATGTTCACAATGTGAGGTACCTCCCTGTAACTCCCTGAACTCTGAGTATATGAGCTATTGTTGGGGGTGTTCACTTCCTGGGGTGTTTCCAAGGACAAAAAAGATGCAGAAGAAATGCTCTCAGACGATAGGGATCTTGAGGATGACCAATTGCAAATCATGCTATCCAGTGCCAAATATCTGCTCTTGAGATAAGCAAACTTATGAGCAAATTTGGGGGCTGGGTGTGGACATTTGTTTCTTTCCTTCTGGCAGCACAAGGTGGCAGGCATGCTCAGGCTTCTCATCCTCTTCTTACTTGATCCCTTCTCATCATGCACCTGGTGTTCCTCCATCAAGTTGGGAAGAGCAGGCTCACTCAGTCCCCTCTGAGAAGGAACACTAGTGAGAGCATCTGCTGGGGACAAAGCAACAAAGGCTGGCAAGAACTTTGAAGCATATTTAGAGTGATCGCCCCCTGGCGACTTCTGGTTTAAAATTAGGTATGTGGCCATGATGTTATTGAATTTTTTCTCATGTAGACAAGCACTAATGTCCTTATGGCCATAGACCATACCCCACATAGCCACCACAACTTTGGGATTTGGGTTGTTACAGAGTGCCTCTAAGGATGGTGTGGTTTTCCAAAATTCTTCCTTAGCCTTAAGCCACTGGTGCTGCCTAATGTCATATATCTTGGGTCTCTGCTCAGGCTTCACAGTGAACAATTGCACAGTGATGTTTGCTATGTTTTGTGAAAGTGTGTGAGGGAGGTGGTACTTGGGATCCAACATCTCCTCCTTCATTTCTGAATAGGTCTTGGCTTTGAACGGAAAGGATGCCATCACCATTGAATATAAAACCACTCCCATGCTCCAGATGTCAACTGCTTTTGCATCGTATTCTTTGTCAGAAAACAGTTCTGGAGCACAATATTCGATGTTTCCACAGAACCCCTTGGTATCCTGGCCAGGGGTGACTCTGGTGGCCAGGCCAAAGTCGCACAGCTTGATGTTGCCTTTGTCATCAAGCAGGATATTATCGAGCTTGATGTCTCTGTGTGCAATGCCGTTCTCATGGCAGTAGTGAACGGCACACACTAGCTGTGTAAAAATGTGCTGTGCCTGCTTTTCCTGCAGAGGGCCCACCCTCCCAATATAGCTCACCAGATCTCCACCAACAGCATGTTCCAACACCATGTAGGTGTATTCTTTGGTGTTGATGATATGGAACAGCTTGATAATATATGGGTGGTCCAACATTTTATACATTGCGATTTTGGTTTTTATGCTGAAGTCATTCTTTGTTCCATTTGGCAGGACCTTGATTGCAACTTGTACCTCTGTATGAAGGTGGTAGGCAAGCTTGATCTCAGCAAAGTTCCCTTTGCCAAGGGTCTTGAGGATGACATAGTGATCTGAAAGTGTCTCCTCTTCAGAGGCACTGGCCTTTAGTTCCAGCAGCATTGCTGCCTCACTGGTCTTGTTAGTGAGTTTCTTGGTAATATCCATGAAAACACCAACTGAGAAAACAAGATTAAAAGCAAAGAGAAGTAGGTCTTGGGGAAAGTTTATAGCTTTAAGCTTCTAATGGAGAAGTATAACAGATGTGAGGCAAACTTGCAATGAATTCCTTGAATCCAAGGTGTTTCAGTGAGTGCTCACCTGTGCATGCAAATTTGATTTCATCTTTAGTAAGTAGTAAAGTTATATGCTTGCCAAAAAAAATAAGTGACACACTGGAAGACAAATGTCACACAATTTCAATTGTATGTGTAACCTAGAAATGATGAACTTATGGGAACAGAGAGCAGAATTGTGGCTATTAGGTTTCAATGTGGGTCTTTTAACAATGGGGAAACAATTGGTTTAAGGATATAAAACTGCAGTTTGACAAGAGGCATGGACTCTGTGAAGTCTTGAGGTCTACTGAGCACATGATAAATATGATTGATAACAATATACTATATTTTAAAAGTTGTGAGATAGTATACTTTAAGTGTTCAAAACAAAAATGATGAGTATGGGTGATATAACATGTTAATTGGTTTAATTTAGCCATGCCATTGTGAACATACTGTATTGTGTATCATAATTGTGCATGACTTTATTTATGAGCTAAATAAATGAATGAAAAAAAAGAAAAAAAATGAAACATCAAGAGAGCTACCAATAAAACTTTCCAGGGCAGAAAAAAAATGGATATGTACTGAAGATGAGAACCAAATATAATGAAATAGACAATATTGAACACTACAGAGGCATAAAACTTGATTGCTGAAAAGGGCAAACAAAACAGACACAATCTTACCAAAAGTGACTAAGTAGGAGAAGACACACTTTAAATCTATAGTCAAACTATGGTGCGGATACAGCAAAAATGGATTGAATGTAAAGAATAATTTGGAAATATTTCTTTGGCAGCTAACAGGGGGTTCCATTTTGATAGGGAGATGTCATATCTATTCTGTAATCATTTTGAAGATAAATATGTATTAACCAATTTATGCAAACCAAATCATTTTATAACCATTTTTGGAAATAAATTTTTCTTCCTTGTTCACTACTAAGTTCTCAATAACCTAAACAATGAAAATCATGTAACCATAAACACATATAATTTCTTAATGAAAGTATAGAGTACAAATAGTAACAGCAATCAATGTTGCTGAAGAAATAACAAAATCAGAGGGAATGGAAAGAATCATGGTACACCATTTCACAGAACCTCTCCTATGCTGAGAGAAAGAAATGCAGTTTTTTTTAAGAAAAAGGTTTTCATTACCAAATTCTAAGGTAATCCTTTAAATGTCATCAAATTTACCCTTTTTTTCCTGTTCCCAAATTGTATATTTTACTCTGATATAATTTGGTGAATATGATGATGTCATATTTGTCAATGCCATACTGAAAAGTAGGCTTTAAATAATGAAGAAAATCATGCCATATTAGTTAACAGTCATTTGCCAAAGGTAATACATGATTCCAAGGAGGAAGTATATTCCAGATACAACAGGACAGATGAACACATGAACTCACATAGACTGTAGCAATACACACAAGCATACAAAGGTTCAAACTAGATGGGGGTTCTGGCAATGAAAAGGGGAAGTGGAAACAGGTTTCCATGATTAACCAAGGGCACATCTGCAAGTGTTTCCTGATGGCAAAGGAAGAACAAGTTTTCTCCGATGAAATCTCACTGGGTATCTTAACCACTCCTCTTGATAGGACACATGTGGAAGAACCCTTGGCAAACACATAAATCAGCCGAATACAAATGTTGTAGATGTTTAGGCTCATTTTCCTTTTGGGGGACATTTTATAGGTGTTGATTGCTTGTGTTGATTTTTCTTTTGGTTTGTATTTTAGATTTTTAATTGAAAGAGAGGAAGACTGTAACAGTAGATGGTCAAGGAAAAAGGAGGGTATGGGAATATTTGGGCAAGGGGGAAAATGATCAAAATAATTGCACCAAAGAGTATCCCTCCATAGTTGATGGGCTCTCAAAGCCCATTCATGCAGTAGGGATAAATACTGGTTCCATTGCCAGTGGAATCATAGACTGCCCAGGCCTCTGTGCTGCCACCCAAGTTCAGGGGCCCTGGATCAGGCTTAAGCAGACCCCTATCCTTTTATTAGAATTTTTACTGTAGGGAAGAGGTTACCAAGGAATGATACCTGGTTTGTATTTATATTGGGACTTTTAGCTATATGGGATGGAGTAATTAGAAGAAGCTGAATTCTGCTACATGTGGGCCTTTGGCTGTGCAAGAGAAAATACCTTGTAAAAATAGACACAGCAATGTATAGTGTGAGGGTTTTAGTTACAAAAGAGGGGAGAGCTGGTAGGACATTCATTTGGTTTCCAGAGTGGGGCTGTGGTTGATTGGAAGGACATCTAGCAGTAAGTAACTGACCTCATTCTAAAAGAGGGTGAGAGGGACAGAGATAGAGGGACAGGGAGGAGAGACTGATTAGAGTTAGCTTAGGTCATTAAAACAAAGCCCATATGAATGGATACTGATGGCTTTAGAAGGAGAGAGAGAGACAGAGACACAGAGAGACACAGAGAAAGAATTTTCATAGACAAGTGAGTGAACCTGGCAAGACCAGAAAACCAGCCTTGTGGTGTGTGTGTGTGTGTGTGTGTGTGTGTTTATAGACACTTCAGTTGTTAGCTAGTTTAACATCACACAACCTGTCACTTCCCATGTGTATATGTATATGTGTGTCTGTGTCTATAGAAGAGAGGTTTCTGAAAGACATGACACCTGGCCCAGTGTAGAGGGCTTTGGTTGTAAGGGAATGGGAAATGTATCAGTACCTGGCATCATGATCTGGGGTGTGTATTGTGGCAGGGGTTTTTGACTATGGGTGACTATCTGTACCCAACACATACCTTTCTCTCTTGCCCTCTCAGGCTCTTCTGGAGGTCTGGTTTGTGTTTTCACTGTTTTTATTCTGTCCTGAGTGAGAGAGTCACCAGGAAATATTGATGCAGTGCAATGAGACTGATGACTACCTTAAATGTCATCATAGAGCCTTCTTGTAGTAGCTGATGGGAGCAGAAGCAGAGATTCACAGCCAAACACTGAACCAAACTCCTGGAATCCACTTGTAGAGATGGAGGAGTGATGAGGAAAGAGGACAAGACCATGCTGGAGAAACCTGAGAGCTCTGAGACTCCAGTGTGACAGCTGGGGAACCAGCATAGGAATAATCCAGGCCCTGTGAAAATGGGTGTCAGCTGGTGGCCTTGGGCAACCTATGGGACTTCTGGCATTGAAAGAAATACTTATCCCTAGTGCACAAATGGTCTTTGGGAGACCATTCCCTATGGAGGGATAGTCTCTCAATGTAGCTACTTGGGGGAGGATATGACAGACTTTGATTATTTCCCAATGAAGGCCTCAGGCTTCCTGGGGTGTGGATGGGGATTGGTGGTGGGCATGGGAGGATCGGAGTGTGAGGAAATGTGGATTCTTTGGTCAAAAAAGATTGTGTATAATAAACAAACATTTATTGTAAAAGATTTTCAATGATGAAATTTGAAAAGGAATAAAAGACTGATATGATATATTCATATATGCATTCTACCCGACTTTTAAAAAGAATCAACACTAATATTTCTCCAACTATTCAATAGGAGAGAATGGAAGAGACACTTTCCAATATCTTCAACAAAGCCTGTAGGAACTTTCTGCCAGACCTGGTGACATGAGCTTTCCTTCCTTGATCTCATATGTTGGAAAAAATAAACACTGACATCCAACCCTCAGTTTTCCTCTGACTTCCCCAAAGAGTATGCTGTGCACAGACAGATAACTCAGAGGAAAATAAAAAAAAAAAAACCAGAAAAAAATAACCCAAACTGTAAAATAAGTGGAGACTATAAACCAATAATTTATCCACCTGAACATGACAATACTTATTGAAATTACTGGAAACATTCAGCAAGTTCAACAGAACATAAACAAGCCATGTTCATACTCAAGATAAGTTCATGACTGAGGAAAGAAGAACAATTCCAATATAAAATGTTCTCGATAAAATATACGAATAGAAGGAGCCTGGCATTGGAGGCAAAACCCTTTAAACCCAGCAATTGGGAGGCAGAGGCAGGTGGATCTCTGTAAATTCTAGGCCAGACTTTTTTACAGAATAATTTCCACAGGAAAGGCTCTAAAGTTCACAGGAAAACCCTGTCTCAACAAAACAAAACAAAACAAAACAAAACAAACAACAAAAACAATGAAAAACTGCAGAAGACATAGGGTAAAAAGCCCTCAAGAGTGTAATTCAGTTATTTTCCAGAATTCTTTGTGGTTTTATGAGACAGGGTTTCTCTGTGTAGTTTTGGAGCCTTTCCTGTGGAACTTACTCTGTAAAAAAGTCTGGCCTCTAACTCAAAGAGACCTGCCTACCTCTGCTGCCACCCAAGTGCTGGGATTAAAGCATTCATCACCACTTCCAGTCATTTTCCCTCAAAATTTACATTTTAAGACTGGCATGTCACACATAACAAAGTCATCTTCATTTGTAACTGTTGCCAGACATTGAAGGGCAATGAGACAAAAGAGACAGAGAACTAGGTGGTTTAGTATCCAGGTTCAGGTTCCTGATGGGTCGGTCAATATGAACAATAGCCATTGGCCCAATCCACACTCCAAAGTGTTTTTTACAAAGAGAACATTCTGGGTCCCATGAAAACAAAATCGTCCTGGAAGATAGCAGCCAATGAGGCTATACCTGGTGTTGCTTGTGTTGAACAGAAAATCTTCTTCCAAATTCGCAGCTTTGAGCACTGTCTGTGAACAGAGCCTCAGGCACTGGTGTCAGCGAAGGGAATGTTCTGCCTTCACTCGCAAGACTGGCACCAACTGTCTCTTGACCACCCATCTCGTGGTATGTGTGCATCCTGATCTGTGGCCTGATTGGTAAGAGGTGCAGAACTGAGCCAGTCAGATGGAGACGCCAACCGGGACTCCCTCATTGGTCAGTTTAAAGTCACGTGACTTGTCTCAGCTCTACAGTGAACTGGCTCTAGCCTGCACACGTGGACTTCAGGTGGGGGTCCTGTGAGAGCAGGCTTAGAGCAGCAGGCTTTGCTTGCTCTGTGCCTTTTGTGTACAGCCCAGCCAGTAGGCATCTCTCCACAGTACTTCCCTTCCAAGGTCTCATTTAAGTCGTGAAAATAGACTTGGTTTCTGAAGGTCTGGTTGGTATTTGTACTGTTTCTAGTCTGTCCTGAGTGAAATGGTCACCAGGCAATATCTGTGAACTGATGGCTTGTGGTCACCCATAAATGGAACATCAACAGGACCTCAGAAATTTCTGCCTTCAAAGTACTAATAGTCAGAAACAAAAAGCGAGTCTCTCATGTCTCAAGACCCTCAAGTGCATGCTGATATTTCCCTTAGAGCCCTTAGGTCTCTGTTAAAACATTAACTTTGTAAACTTGAAAACTACATCATTATCTAGTCATGGCTTATCCTACCTACACTGGTCATCAATTGACTGAAATTAAAAGAATACAAAACTTCACCAAACCAAACCATAATTTTCCTCATCAACTTTCCCTTTCCTAGAGCTGCTTTTGAGACGGGTCATTCTAATCCAAAATTTTCTATTTCTCGGTTGTAGCAACTTCCAAAATTTATTCTACTTGTATGTTTTGTTATACTTTAGGAAAATATTGTAAATCACTTGGTGAACTAGTCCTCAAATTCCAGGGTTCAATTTTTATATTTCCCCAGTTTTCCTGTCTAACCTGGAACTAGTTCTTTGAAGATAGGTTGGTTTTTGTGTGTTTTTTGAAAACTTCACATATAAAAACTGCATCTAGTCTCTTGACACCTTCCTTCTCTCTTGTGCATCAGCTTATCCCATGCAAGCCCCAAACATGAACGCTTTAATGAGTTAAATGGATGTATATGTGTAGTTTTGTGCTCATACATAGACACAGATATTTATGATATTTATTTACTTAAATTTCTTGACATTAGATGATGTTCCACCCATCTTTCTAACTACTCATTTAAACAGAATATTGATTAATGCTTACTTTATATGTATCAAAAAGATGTTTTAGAACAAGTTTTAGTCATTTTGAAAATGCTCAGGATTGAATGTATAGTGCAACAAATATGACATTTGATTAGAGTCCCTTCTTATTCAAGACCCTAATATCTCTTTACTTATATTTTATATTTAAAGATGTTGAGTCAGTTAGTTGTTTTCTATATTTTAATGTTTTTTGTATCTCCATATTCTATCTGCTATTAGTAAGTAAGAAGATTTCCAAGCATGGTTTTAAATTGATGCTTCTATAAATTAGTTTTTAATATACTTATTTGCCACAAGTATTTTGCCCATTCATTTTACATAGTTTATTTAGTTAATTTTCTCAGATTTGAATGGATATTCACTGCCTGTAGCTTTTACAGAAAAATATGAAAGAGTCTTTTTCATTTGTAACTTTCAGCTTTAATTGTCTGCTGTCTTGGTGATTCTCTGAACTTTCAGATATTTTTTAATAAGTTCACTTATTTTTAATTAGCCAGGTATGGATCCAGTTGCTTTTTAAAATACATGACAAATACACTACAGATTAGGATTCCTTATTCCTGGTGCTGTTGATATGGTGGGCTGTATCATTGTCCCTTGGAAACCTAGTGATGCCTGTCTTATATCGGGGCATTTATTCAGGATTTCTATTAATAGATGCCAATAGCATGTTCACACTTGTGACACACACAAATCATGTTTTAAGATGTTATTTTTTAACATTTCATGGGCAACAAAATTGTCCATCTATCCCAGGCATAATTCAGTGCTATAAACAAATGGAAACTTTGTAGAAATGAACAGTGTATTAAATGATACACTTGTGAGATTATCTAGCAGAATAGATGATCATTTCAATAAATAAAAGATAAAAACCCAAATACTCACAATCATGTACATAGAACAGAACATATAGTGATGTTCTAATTGCAGTTGTATACATTCTACGTTATTCCCTTATCAAAGATGTAATTTATTTTTTCCTCTTTAGTTTAGAAACAACCTGATTTTACATATCAATACCTCCATTCTCTTACCTTCCCATCATCCCATACTCCCCACAGACCCCCCAACTACCTCACCCACTCCCAAAGAATAGTGAGGCCTTACAAGGGAGACCATCTAAGTCTGTCACATCATTTTGGGTAGGGCATTGGCCCTCTTTCATGTATCTGGGCTGCAATAATATTCCTCTATAGGGAATTGGCTTCCAAAGTTCATTTATGAAATAGGAATAAACATTGGTTCCACTCTTATTGATCCCACAGACTTCCCAGGCCTCCTAGCTGATACCCACATTCAGAGGGCTTGGTTCGGTCCAATGCAGGTTCCCCAGCTTTACAACTAGGGTTTCCTTGCCCTGATTAGGTCAGGTCAACTGTTTCTGTGGGTTTCTTCAACACAGTCTTGGCTTTTTTGTTTATCCCTCCTTCATCTCTACAACTGGATTCCAGGAATATGGCTCAGTGTTTAGCTGTGGGTATCTACTTATAAACCTCAACAACTATGTAGCTGTTGTGTTACAAGAAAATGATTTGAATGTAAAACTGATATTATTCTGATTCATAAAATTCATAAAAATTGTGTGAATAGAGAGAAAACAATGGGCTTTTGACATACTCTATTGGTGAAATAAGTACTATTTGTACTCAAGGTAGATGAAAATCTGAATTTCTCAACACAAGGCTAATAATGAGAAAAAATGTTGCTTGATTTTACAAAACCAGAACAGAAATAACATATTTATGACAGTAAAATAAATTAAAAAGGCAGTTGAAATTATTATAAAAATATTTAATGAGATATGAGAAAAAGTAGCCCCAAATAGTACCTCTTGGAGTAGAGTGAATTTAAGTATCTCAGTTACAGTTTTATTTCTGTGAAGAGACACCTTGACCAAAGCAACTCTAATAAAGAAAGCATTCAATTGGGTCTTCCTAAGAGTTACAAAGGCTTAGTCCAGTATCATCACAGCAGGGAGTATGGTGGGACAGAGGAACACATGGTGCTGAGAAGTAGATGAGAGTTCTACATCTTGATATACAGGCAGCAGAAAGAGTAATACTATGCCTGCCATGGGCTTTTGATATCTCAAAGCTGTCTCTCAGTGACATACTTCTTCCAACAAGGCCACACCTTCTAAACCTTTTTAAATGCTGCCAATCTCTAGTGACTAAGCACTCAAATATAGGAGTGTATGAGGGCTATTAGGGTTATGATACCCATCCAGGAACATAAATAAAATTACTGTGTTTGGAAATAACTAGAATTTAATTAGAAATTTATTTAAAATGAAATTTTTTCTAAGAAGAGTAAGTTAAAATTTTCATAGTCTTATCTTTTTTCAATTCTATTTTTTTCGTAGGGCACAGTTGTTTACTCTTCCTAGAAAATTTCTCGTTCATGAACAAAAGAGACACATATTCATAAGTCAGCAACAAAGTTTTGTCAAAAGTCATATCCATTTATTTAATCATTCTAATAGGAGGCACAGACAATATTGATGTGTAGTACATTTAATTATCAAATAATGATCAAGCTTTAATTACATCTCTTTTTCATTCATAGATACTAACATATTTTGAGAAAAATTGCTAAAATATAATATAAAAAGTGTAAGTCATAATAGGGGATGCGATTCAATGGCTAGTGACAGATGACATGTTTAGCATAGGCAAGTCTTTAAGCTTAGTCTACAGCAAAGTACAAATTGTATAAATCTAAAAATTTAATAAAAATTTTACAAACGTGTGTAGAACATATATATTGCATGCATGTACGCTGATTTTTTTCTCTCTTATTATTATTATTATTATTATTATTATTATCATTATTATTAATTCAAGTTAGGGAACAGGCTTGTTTCACATGTAATTTCCCTTTCCCTCCCCTCAGCCCCATTCCTTCTCCCCCACCTCCAACCTACCCCCCACCCCATCCACCCACCACTCCCCAGGCATGGTAGGGCCCCCAAAAGGGGCTCCACCAAGTCCACCAAATCGTCCTGTGCTGGGACTAGGCCCCTCCCCATGTGTCCAGAGACAGAGCGCATCCCTTCAAGCGAGATGGGCTCTCAAAGTCCCACACACACACACCAGGGCAAAACGCCAGTCCACCTCTGGAGGCTCCCAGGAGCGCAGGGGCCTCCCCATTGGCATCCATGCTCAGGGGGCTGGATTAGTATCAGCCACTGGATGAGGACTCTAGGATAGCATAGAGAGTAGTCATCAAACTCATTCTAGGGGAAGGGCTTCTAGGTCACCCTCTCCTCCACTGCCCAGACTGTCAGATCGTGTCATCCTTGTAGGTCTCTGGAGATCTTTCTACTTCCAGATCTCTTCTCGGACCTATTGTGGCTCCCTCTGATATGGTATCTCTCATCCTGCTCTCTCTCCTCTATTCTTCCCCTAACAAAATATATCTGCTCCTCCATTTCTTCTCCTCTCCTCATCTTCTTGTGCTCTTACTGTGGCAGCACCCCCTTCCCCAACCCACC